CATCCCTAATTTGTTATTATCCATACAGTTGAACGCCTTCACTTAGTCAATAAAACACAGACAAACATCTTTTTTTAAATTTTCTGATGACTCATTAAACAGTAACAAACAGCAAAAATACACCCCTTATACCTACTCTGAGCAACATTCTGTGTTACATATATAAATAATGGAATCATTAAAAATGTGAAATCTTTGTCATCAGTTTATATATGTATTTACTTTATTCCTATCTTCTTCTGGTTATTGTTTGTTTCTACCCAGAAAGTTGGTCAGAATGAGCTATATTGCAATAAGGCCACAGGGAAAAGAGAAAGTTAAAGTACTGTACTAAGAATAATTTGATTCTAAGATTTCTAAACAAGCATGTTATGCATTAAGTATCTTATGTATAATATCAGAAAGAATGCCTTACCTCCTCGATTATACTGTTTTGGGTCCTTACCGGTTTAAATTTCTCTCTTATAAAATTTCTGGCATCTGAGAATGGGCTGGGGCAGGTAATCATAGAGTCTCACTATTCAATGGGTGGAGGAAGGGCTGGGTAAAGGAAATGGGACAGCCTGGTGTGAGAAACAATGTAAATGAACTTTGTAAATAAACCAGTATAAAATAAAAATTTTATTTAAAAAAAATTCTGACATCAAACTATTGGATAGCCACAAATATAGGGGAGGGGTAATTCTTCTTTTGTTTAAACGATATTATTTTCTTAATAACCACCCCTTTCTCCAAAAAACATCTGCAGTGCTGGGAGTCATTAGGATTATTCTTTTAAGATCTTCAGTACATTAAATGGCCAAGCTAATAGCAAATCAACAACTAAAAAAAGTTCCATTTTGTATATTCGTGTATATTTGTGTACTCTAAGCTATTAAGAGATGAACCAGACTGAAAGTTTGTAAATTCTTTAAGAGCTGAAAAATTGACTGTACTTTGGCAAACAAGGAGTTAAAGATCTTTCGGAAGTTAACTTGGTATGAGTATGAAAAGCCTCTGTTGCTCTAGTTCTAAGGAAATGCTTTCCTTTTTCTTTCTTTTTTTTTTTACTAATTAAGCTTCTTTCCACAGAAGACAGTATACTGTACACAGTAAACAAGGTAAGCATGGCATGGAATTACTACAATTTATTAACTCTCAAAAAAGTTACGTCTGCTGACATGTAAGAGAATTTTTAAAGAAAGTTAAATGTGCTTCCAAATGCTAATCTGTTGAGATTCTGTAAAGCAAGCCTCAAAATGCAAGTCATTTGTGCCGGCCACAAGAGAAGAGCTGAGGCAGCATTTCCAGATGGACTGGGACGAAAAAACAGAACTAACTTCAAACAAGAAAATAAATGAAGCATTCTTGAGTGTTAATAATTCACCTTTTCATTTCACTATTCCTAAAACCTAACTATGTAAACAGTACAGTTATCTGTCTTAATTCACATGTTATTTTCATAATCTCTGAATTGTTTCAAGTGTTTAGTATCCATTCTTTGGATAAAAATCACAAGTTTTAGGAGATTTTTATTAGCTTGTAAGAGCAATGTTGATGCTGTAAATTTATATTTTGTTATTTTACTTCCTTTCATAATCTCTTAAGAATGTAGGAGTTGGTCTATTAAATACTATGAAGCATTTGTCATTTATATCTCCGTCATTTATTTGTGTGTTTTTTTCTTTTCTGAGAACACTGTAGTGATTTACATGCAAATTCTGAAAGGAGAAAATTAGAATTTTGCAGATAGCTACAAAAAGAGGACATTCACGTGAAAAAATCTAGGCTTTTGAGGCAGAAAATCTGGATCTCAGACTCACTTATGCTCCTAGACAGCTGTGGGATCTCAACTTCTCTTTCATTTACTGTTACTGACTTACTCTCTAATAAAGTAGATGTTTACATAAACTAAAATAAATTATATGAAGAATATTACTAATTAAAATGCTCCCTAATTATAATGATTTATTCATTGTACCCTATCAAGCAACATAGTAATTATCAGCACATAGTATTTTCAGTAAGGAGCTTTGATGGCCTGGTTTGTAAGGAGTTGTGCTGCTAACCTAAATATGGCATCTTCTCTGGCAGTTCAAATCCACCACCTGCTTTATAGAAGAAAGATGGGCAATCTCCTCCTGTGAGAATCAAAGCCTCTGAAAACCCATTGGAGAATCATCTGAGTCAGTTCTGACCCAACAGTAATGAGTTGAGTTTTTGAGTGAGTATTTATAATACTTGAACATATTTGACTTTGCACTGAATATGAAATCAAATGCACTTTGGCTCAGAGTCATTTCTCTCAAAAGAAATGTAAGCATTGTAGAGTTCTGAAGAATTTCTTTTAACAAAGATCTACTCTGTCAGGTAGCACATTCTAGTGGAGAGTCTTATTACCAATAAGCCGAACTTGGTCTATATAAACTCATATGTTTAGTATACACAGTAAATCCCAACCTATTTTCAGGCATTACAATGACTAGAAAATTACTAACAATTGCTTTTCTTTTAGTAAAATAAAACAAAAATAAAATGTGAGGAAGACTCCTAAGAAAGTTGATCCTACAGGGAAAGTTAAACCTACAAATTATCTTTTCCCTTACCTGGAAGATAGGATACAAGACTCTGTCCCATTCCTTCTTAGATGTTCCTGAATCCTTACATGTTCCCAGATGTCTAACCACCCTCCTAGTTAAAGATCCTTTAGCCAAATCAGGAGTGATACTCCTTGGAGGCAAGGATGGTAAAACTATCATACATACTTTGGGCATGTCGTTAAGAGAGATTAGTCCTTGAAGAAGGAAATCATACTTGGAAAGGTAGAGTATCAGTGAAGGACCTTTAACAAGATGTTGGAAGGACAATTTTGAGAAAGATCTTATCAGATTGAAATCCTTTGCTAATATTCACCTCCCCACTCCACAGTCTCCAGCTGAGCCACTTATTTTCTCAATAATATAATAATTAGATGAAGGAACTTTTTAAAAGAAATATATGATTAGGCATTATATCTACGACAATAGCCCAGAATGAGAGATACATTGCAAAGAGGAATGAGGGGAAGAATGAGAGTACAATAATTTTGCAACAATGGGTGAATATTTTTTAAAAAATGAACTGAGCTGAGAGGAGGGGAGGGTCAGAGAGGGGCTAAAAATGTACAACAATGAACAAAAGAAAATCTAACTTTTCTGTAACCTTTTGCTAAAATCACCATTAAAATAAATAATATTTATTTTTAAAAAATAGATATTCTGGCTTTGTATCAGAGATGAACTTTGCAGTAAATAGAAGGAAAACTTTAATAGAATGATGGAAAGGTTCATAATAAAGATATTTGAAAATAGCTCCTTAAGTCCTATTGTTGTTAAGACAATGATTAATAGCAACTCTTTAAACAACAGATCTGAATCTTCCCCGGTACTGTGCCATCCTCACCATCTTCGAATTCATCTTGTTGAGGATCTTTCACTCTTTTTCTAATTCACCTTTCCCAGCAGAATGTCTTTTTCCAAGAACTGGTCCCTCCTGAAAATATGCCTACAGTATGTGAGACAAGGTGTCACCATACTTGCTTCAAAGGGGCACCCTGAGACAGATTGGTTTGTTCTGTTGGCAATCGAGATATTCACTAGTCTTCTCCAACATCTATTCTTTTCCCTCATCCTTATTAATTGTCTAGCTTTCAGCTGCATAGGAAGCAATTGGCAATACTATGGTTTTTAAGTCTTAGTGATCATTTAATTGGTTCTTGTGGTTCTGAAACACTTGGAACAAAACCAATGCTGATACAAGAGGAAGCCTCTGAGAATGTGCCTGTAGTGTTTATAAAGACAGGTTCCATTCTCTCACTTGATGAAAAACATTTCTCTTCCAATATTAGTTGAACTAGAAATACAAAATAAAAATATGTACTTGTGTAGAAAATATATTTATTTTAGGGGAGAATTAGAAATGCTTAAGCTGTTTTTGTCATTACAAATAATCATGAACTCACCATTAGATGCCAGGAAAGAAAAAGCAGACTTTTTGTGTGCTTAACTTGTGGTTTTACTATTGTATTTAGGTCTACTGACCATATGAGGGAGTTAGAAGTTAGTGCAAACAGCTGTGTCTCTGGCTGATCTTTGCATATTTTAATCCAAATATGGTAAAAGGCCAGGCTAACAGAAGGAGTGTCCATATAATAAACGGATCTCAGAACTTGAAACAGAATGAAGATATACTCAAGAGAACTTTGTACTTTGCACTTTGGCTTAAAGACTCCTTTTCGTTTGGATTTCTAAACTCTCCTCAGAAATTAAATTTATTTTATCTCCTCTATTCTGAATTGCAGAAGTCAGACAGAACTGCTTGGTAAAATGACCACTTGTCATGTTGCTGAAAAGCCTATTAAAAAGGTTGCTATCTTTGGAGGAACACATGGGAATGAGCTAACTGGAGTATTTCTAGTTAAGCACTGGCTGGAAGATAATACGGAGATTCAGAGATCTGGGCTGGAGGTGAAACCATTTATTACCAACCCAAAAGCAGTAAAGAAGTGTTCCAGATACATTGACTGTGATCTGAATCGAGTTTTTGACCTTGAAAATCTTTGGTAAGAGTATGTTTCATGTTATGAGCGCGTGTGTGTGAGAGAGACAGAGAGAGACTGGCCAAGTGTGTAAGAGAGAACACACATACAAATGCATATTATAAATATTAGTGTCTGTCCAGATAGCTGTGCATAAGACCACTTTCACTTTTAAGCACATACTCAACTACAAATTACACAAATTTTGAAGTTAATCATCCATATACTCTTCATAATCTTTTTTAAATGCCAGATTATTTTTAACTTATTTTCTTTTTAAATATATTCTGTACAGACAGGCAGTAAATAACAGGGCTTTTTCTTTTATT